TAAAATATATAATGGGATATTTGTTCATGATGCATATAACCTACACCCGTCTTAACCCTAAATATTAGAGAAGAAAAATTCTTCTAGTTATTTTGAGATTAGATCTCTACGGCACTAACATTCCGTTCGATCAAGTTTGTATGCGTGTGGATACCGGCAGAGGCACGACACTTGGAATACTAAACAACCTCGAATCGTTTTTGGTTTATCTTTCCGCTGCAGAATATCCAAGTATATTCAAAACCCTAAGATCTAGATTTAATTCAATGTTTACACGGATCCTAAAAATTGAATTCGTAATTAGTATTTATAAATAGTTATAAAATGGTACGAATTCCAACACAAATATGTATGTGAAGATGGTTTTAAATTCTTAATATTTCACAGAAGCTTCCAAACTATAAGATGGTTGTTCATCTAGCCAATGCATTACATCTATCGAACTCTTTTCTTCGTATATATCCTTGGGATTGATCATATTTGTTTTTCTATTGTTCCTAACCTCCTTCGCTAACTTATATAATCTTTCGCTTGGGTGAATGTGAATCTCTTTATGTTTACTATTCCTGTTTCCAAATAGAAAAAGTTGGAGCATTCAATTCATTTATTTACAGTATGAAAAAACGTCTATGTACATATGTCTAATCTTTTCGATTTTGATATTGAAAAAAAATCTTGAGGGATTCAAATTTCAACATATTAATTAAACTAGATATATACAAAAAAGGCTATGAAAACTAAAACTGTACTCCATTTAAAAAAAAATGTAAAAAATTGAAAAAATGTAACCCTCGCAAACCACATTTTCAATGTACAAAGCCCACAAAATATCTTTCTCATCAAAATCTTATACAAGTTCTAGGTTGGGAAAATTAGATGTTGTATAACAAATTTATCAAAGTTTGATAAAAATTAATTGTAAGAACTTACAAAAACATAATATATGATTCAAATATATAGGTATTTCAGTTTAGAAGGAAAATTGACCAGAGTAATATTACGAAAGATGAAACATGGACACAACTTGTGAAACGTTTTTATGAAATAATAATCAACTATCAATTATGCAATATAGTTTATAATCTCCATAAAATAGTTTATTATTTTCATTCAATGTAAACTTACGAACAAGCAAGCTAATGTGTTTATCATATAATTGAAACACGCAAATGTATGAAATGTTGGCATTAAAATTAACAAAAAATAACCGCGCATAGCTTTTGTGTAGGAAACTTGAGGATATGAAAGCGAGTTTGAGGAATATGAGGTCGAAGAAAAAGCAGAAGGTTTTGTATGGGAGAAGAAGACTGCAAAGTAACGCAAAGCTTCAAGCAAAAGCCCAAGGTAGGAATGTAGGATCACAACTACCACGACTCTTAGACATTTAAATGTGTATTCGATGTTAATTCATGTTTTATACTGATGTCGGAGGAAGAAGTCAAAAGTGTAACATAGCTACTAATGAAGAAAGTCTCGTGGAAGAAGAAAACGCATTTGTTGTAAGAAAAAGCAATGTTGTAAAGAAAGAAAATCCTTGGATGTACAAAGTATTGAGGATGATGAACATAGTGATGATAAAGTAAAAATAGTTATGGTACTGGATTTTACAAAATAATTGCAAACTAAATTAATGAAAAATTATAAAATACCATACCATCTCATCTAGTATATGTAATAGTGTTATAAAGAAAAAGCAAAGCAATACCCATCTTTTTTTCCTTGGTTGTATAAATTATTATTAAAAAAACATATTT